GCTTAAATTTGATTTACTTTAAGGCTTATAGTTAGCCTTGGATACAATAAGGAAAAGAATCCACAATAACTAGGCTTAGTTGTGGTACACATTGGCTTCTTGCCATATCAACAAGTCTACCATAGGCCACACAAGATATTTCTGCTTATAATCCATATCATATCAGAGTACACAATCTCAACAATAGATGAGTGATTTGATTTCTTGATTATCAATTATTGACACAAGTAGTGGTATAGGATACATAGATGTATTTGTATAATATCTTTATCTTAATTATTTCTTATGTCAAAAATATCCATTAAAGAAGTGTCGCACAAAGTTTGAAGAGATAGATAGTTTTCTACCTCATTTCAAAAGAAAGCCTACTCATTCTAAATTTGGTTGCAGCTTTTGTAAAACATCTAAAGACAAGTATCTATGATTGTTCCAATTGATCTTTTAATAATGGTTACAATGACAAAGTGCACCTTGACAATCTATTTCTCAATTTTTGATTTGTATATATATTGGTGTAATTTGGTGATGATCTATTTTTTAATGATAATGATAATAGATGGATCAATTTAACATTCATATTTTAACATTTATACATATATATATATATATATATATATATATATAAATGATAGCACTTATATAATCAACCTATATATTTTTACAAGAGAAAAAAAAATCTTAAATATTCTACAAACCTCATATTAAAAAAAAAAGATTAAAATGTGCTCAATGCAAGAATATCTTCCAAATATCCCATTACAAAATGACAACATGTCACACCAAAAAAGTACAAACAACACTCAAAAATTTACCAATTAAAATCCTAACTGTGAAATCCCAATCCACACCCAATGGACCCTATCATTGAAAGCATTAACCCCTTGTTGTTTCAAAAATGCCACGTCATTTGAGGGTGGAATTCCAAATCCACGTCAGCAAAGCAATGCCACGTCTGCCGATGTCTGAAGCAGCCTCTGTGTCGCTCATCCCTCGCAATGCGTGCATGTGTGTGTGTGTGGGTGCATGCGTGTGTGCTTGCTTGCGAGGGGAGGATCGTGTGTGCAGCAAGCAACATTGGTCACGAGGAAGGGAGGGATTGATTGATTGATTGTGCACTGTTCTGGACAATGCCCCCGCGGTGGTTTCTCTGGGCCAAACATTCGCATCGCCACTGCGCTTTCCTGTCTGGTATCTCCTCCTCCCTCCCCATCGCTGCTGCTGCTGCTCCATCGTCATTGTCTTTCCTCCTCGTAACCTGCATGCGACCACTCTGACTACTACTACTACTACCCCTCTGCCCTACCCCTCTGCCCTACCCCTCTGCATCTACTCTACTACTGTTCGTTTTGGATAGGTCTCGAATCATTCCTCTCTCTGCATCTCTGTCCATCGTGTACTCGACACCATAGAGGTATGTATTGCCAGTTTGGATTTAAGGTGTGTCCTTGCATGCTACTATTATCGATTCCCTTCTCCCGGTACGTTCATCCTCCTCGTGTTGTGCTTCTGTTGAGAAATGCTGCCTAGGTGTTGTCCATAGTCGTAATTGATGTTGAAACCCTAGCTTCTGTGCAGTGCACATGGTTGTGTTTCCGTCGAAGGGTTTGGGAGGGTTTTGTCCATGTGAGATGTGGATACACTCTATACAGGAGCTCCTTTGTCGAGATGGAGGTTGAGTACGGGCGATGCGAATTACGGGGAGTTTTACGAAAAGAATGTCCATGGCCAAATTCGTTAGAATCATAATTGCGGTTGAGATTCGTGGTGTTCAAGCATCCGCACTGAGTCGAGGACCTGACTCGATGTTCATCGAAGTCAACAGAAGCGCTGGGTGTAGCTTTCCAGGGGGTAATGCACACTAGTGTGATGAGTCTCACATATACCTATCGGTGGTAATGAGGCCATTGGCGATCCCCATCGTGAAAGCAAAATGGCGATAGAGGCAGTTGAGTGTTGGCCATGCGCTTCGGTCTCTCCTGCCACGCAATGCTTGCCTTGGTACCTTTCCGTACCACACAATTTAAAAGAGCTGACACTGATATCTGCGGTGATGCTCACTCTGCCATCTCGGCATGAGATGAATTCGCAAGCTGATTGGGGAGGGTATCGTCTTCCTGTTCTCACACGCACACATACACACACACACTCTGCCCTTCATCAATTTGCTTATCAAGAGTTTACTGTATCGAAGAGCGAGGAAAATCCAATTCTAGAGTGTAGCCCGATCGAACACAAGGCTTCGCCGAGACTCAAAAGTTACTACTGCCAGAAAAAGCTACTTTCCTCGTGGAATCCGCCGCGATGCTCCGCATGTGGATGAAAGAGCCCCGGACGCGTTGCAGATTCAGTCGAGTGTTATCATCCGATTATGAATGAAATCTTTGTGTCTCCACGACGAGACAAGTTTTTCTTTTTATTTTTTTCTTTATTTCTTTTTTTTCTTTTTCTCGTTCTTGCCTGCCATGGATCGTATTTAAATGTTGAATTGATCTTGTAACAAGAGAATGCAATTGTGATCTCTTAGGGATTTGATAGAGTGTAAAGAAATATAACTTATTTCTTAAAATTTTGTAAAAAGGACCATTAAATAATTATTTTAAATGTAGAAGACAAAAAGAATGAATATTTGTAGTAGAGGTTCAATTAATTTAAGAGTTTGGATAGGCTTGAGTTTTTTTTTTTTTTTTTTTTTTGTAAATATGTTTATTTTTATAATTCAAAAATAATAAAGATAGTCCAAGATTGATAGGATTTTCCAATTAATATTCTAAGTAGACTTACAAATAAATATTCCTCCATAAATATTCGTCTGTGAAAAGTCCAATCTAGACGTAGTTTTTTATGTAAATTTTTTAAAAAAATATTTTGATGGGTTTTCGGCTATTAGTCTTTACTATATGGTGTAAGAGGAGTTTTAGTCAAAAAGTGCATAGCTTGTGCATGCATGACAATGCTTTTGGATACTTTACAGTTGTTTTATTATTATTATTATCATTTCTATTTATTTAATTTTATTTAGAGTTTGTTTAGAGTTTTAAATTGTTATATATATATATATATATATATTTCTACATTTTTTTGTCTGATTGTTATTACCATTAAACTAAAAACTACTAAATTAAATGAGTAGTTTGGGATTTTTTTAGACTTGTTTAAATTCTCTATATAAACAAATAATGAATTAATTTTTAAATCTATTAACTATTCAATTTAAAGATTTACTTTTAACAGAAAAGTATAATAAAGCCCAATAAAAATATGTTATTTCAAAACATACACTACACATATATTACATTGGATATTTTCTTTGCACTTGCAAAAAGTTTCAAATTTAGCCCTTGTCAAGTATCCATACTTGCCATTCATTTTATAGCTTTCCATCTATGTGTTTTTAGCTAGGAGTGTAGAATTGTTTTTGTAAATATTTATAATGTGCTTAGTTTCTGTATGTGTTGTATCTTGAATAAAATAAAAACAATATTAATCAATAAAAGCTAAAAAAAACACAACTTAAATATATTTTATAATATTTTATTAGAATTTTTGTGATTTGGTTGATTATCTAAAATTCAAATTCATCTACTAATCAATTTTTGAAATTTTTGGTAAATAGTTAAACTCATTTCTGTAACACATGAACTGCAGTACACATTTTTTTATTTTTACCCCATCTTATCCTATGTATTTAATTTTAAAATAGGCTTTTATTTCTTATTTTTTAATTAAAATCTTCAACTCGATTGCTCAAAAAAAGGAGTAAAAATCCTTACTCCACTAAAACAACATAAATATTAAAAGGCTCTGGTAGATTTAAAGATTTATAACATTAAAACTTTCATTCAGCATCTATAGTGGGCCAAAACTAAACTTGTTAGTAAACTGAAAACCAATTTCAGAATTAAAAGTTGCGTGTCAGGGAAATATTAGAACTTACATCATGATGATGGCATTAGTCAAGGTTTTATCAAAATATCCTTTAAAATCAAATATCATAAGTACATTCATTTAATTCTATTTTTTGGTTATTTATTTAATATTTCTTAAATACATATATTTTAAAATTCAGTTGTATTGAAAATTTGAACATCTATATGTTCTATTTTGCTAAAATTGAGTAATTACGATTTACAAAGAAATTGATTGAATAAACAAAATATTCAATATGCCAAGAATAACTTTTTTTTAAATCTATTTTTAAAAATATCTATTTTTCTTATGCTTACAATTTTCAATTTAAAAGTCTGGGCAAAAAAAAACTTGAATGTAATGCTCAGGTTTTGTGAACATTATTGAGGGCATATTTTATAACAAGATAAGGAACCACCTAATGGTTGTTTTAAGTGGTTGAATAACGATGAAATTATAATTCGATTATCAATTTTAGCATTCAATCAAGCGTCAAAAATAAAATGAACCACAAGGATATACATGTAAAACTATTTTTTTATTTTAATTTTTGTAAAAGTTAAATTGACAGGTAAATATTTTAAAACAAATTCTTCAGTCAACATTGATTATTTTATAACAAATCTTATATACATGTGAATTCCCCCAGATTTTGTGCAATTATTTTCATTTTAATTTACATATTGAATGAAAGTGAACTTATTATGCATTGTGTTATTGAATGTGTTGAACCATAATGCACATTAATAAAAAAATAAAAGAAATGTTAAATCAATGAATTTAATAGAGTCACATAGTGCTAAAACCATTCAGACAAAAGCCTACTTTAAAAATATCAATCTGAATACATAAAATTTTGAGCGAATTTTAAAAATATTTATAATAATAATAATAATAATAATAATCCTGCATAAAGCATCAAATTTAGAGGAAAAAAAGAAAAAAAATTGTTGGGAAATGAGGGTCAGTTCCAGGGATAGAATATGGATGAAATACAATGGATGGATGCCGAAGTTGGATGAATGAAGAGTAGGCCATCGGAGCAAGCTTGTCTCGGTACCGCCATCGCCTCGACAGCAAATTCCGTCGTCTTCGATCGGTTTTGTGTTCCATCTCCGACGAATGCAATCGAATTTATGAATCATGGGACCACTGATGCTCTCCTGAAAACTCAGTTGCGAAATTTTTCGAAGAATCGCGGTGAAAAATCCGCAGAACTGCAGTCAGTGAAGACAATTCCTCAGAGTGCGGATGAGAATTGGGAGCAGCAGTGAAGCAAATTTCGTCTTGAGTAATGTCGTATCCAAATTCCCGAAGCGATAGCTTGAGTTGAGCCAGTTGTCAGTCGCATGTGCTGAATCGGTTGAAGACTCGCCACATTGGACCAGGGAGATTGGAATCAATGGCGACTGAGAGTAGTGCCAGCACAGGGCGGCTGGGTGAGAGAGAGGGATTGGGGAGCGGTGTGAGTTGACTGACTGAGCATTGTGCGAGAATCGTAGGAGAGAGTAAGCCAGCACCCAGATTTTATTCTGGTGACGACGCAGTTCGTTTTCATGTGAGGAATTTTTAGAAAGGGTGATTGGAGGGAATGTCAATGGAAATGGAAACAAGGTGTCGTCGCATTAGTGGAACGAAGCATGGCACCTGAAACGGTCTCGGACACGCTCTCAAGTAATCTCTCTCAATCCCCATCGCCGTCGGCGGAATCCCTCAATTGGGAAGGCTGTCTTCGACGTACACCGTCTCATATCCTTCCTCGGTTACTGAACTGGGTCACCGAAATTCTTCTGCTGTAGATTACGCTTGTTTCGATGTGTTTATGCGTTGTAGTGAACGATTCGGTTGACGGGATTTCGTTGGACAGCTTGCTGACAGTTTTCGGAAGGGTCTTGTAGCTAGGATTTGGATGATCGTGTAGCGATTTAGCGATTCAGTTGGGTTGAGCTCAATGGATCCAAATCATGGCGGGAGGAGAGCTGGTTAGGCGACGAATTTGGAAAGTAGTGGTCAGTGAGGATGTCTTGTCGGGTTTTAAACCTTCCGCTTGTATGAGTGGGGGTTAGCCTGTTCGCATAGTGAGGAGATTTGGATGTTGGCATCGTTATTCTCGAATTTGGTGCTAACCGCACCGCTGGCTTACGACTATTCGGATGCTTTGTGAGACTTTGTTTATTTTTTTTCCAGTTTTGGTTTGGGCAGGGAGAAGTAGCAAAAACTTCCACTAGATATTGTTTTTGGCGCTGGATTTTGACCTCGTGATCATCGCACTGTCGAATTGTTTGTTGGAACTGTTTATCGTTGCCTTGCTGATACGAGGCAATGTGGGGGCTTAAACCGTCTCCGAAAATACTCGTCGTGGGTGGGTCTCTTAAGAATTGTTGTGTCGATGCGCAGTTCTAATCTTCCTGGGAAGTGTTCGTAATTCGCTCCGTCGATCGTCGGATATTCTGTTGTAGATCGTTTGTTGGATACACTGCATTTCTTGCACGTCAGTAGCACTGATCTCATTCATGTTCCTTCATTCGCCGCTCCCTACTCATACCTTCGCTTTTCTTGGCCACCAGGGTACGCAAGTCGCTGAGCCGCCTTTTTTGAAAAGCTGTTTTCAACTGGAACCCGTGCTCAATCGTACTACTGCTGCATCGGAGCTGCCGGTTCCTGTGTGGCAGCAAATCTCCTGAACCTCCAAGCTGAGGAGGTTGACGAGAACAACTAGATTTATTACTGTGGGCTTATCTGGAGCACTAGCCAAGCGGGTTTCACGTTAAACGGCGAATTGGTGGAACGGGCTTTCACCTGAAGGAGCGGACGAGTATGCACGTCGCAAGAGCAAGATGTAATCCAGATACAGCGTATTATTATTATTATTATTATTATCAAATATGAAGTCTATAATTCTCAATCCACTCTTCCCCGGCGCTGACTGACCGATTCCCTTTAACCCAGAAAACACCATCTCACACAAAAAACAGTGCCTCCTAGAACTGAGATCATCGTCATGGCAGCCGTCGACGCGGAGTATGGGCGGCTCTTCTTGCATGGAAATCAGGTACACAACCTTGGCTGCCATGGTTTCATGCACAGCTGCAGGTTACAGTGATAGATTCGGCGTCCGCTCTAGCTACGATGGTTGCACTTTTGAAGCCCATAGATCCGCAACAAGAATACGACGATGAATATTAAATGCCCTCGGCATGAACAATTGTCGTTGCTCACGTGAGGTGGATGGGACGTATATTCTAGACAACACCGAAACAGTGCATTCCGGCGCATTACTCTCATCTACACTTTATAGTTTTTTGAAGCGATGGCCTTAAAGTGATCTGTATCAGGAAAATTCTGGTTTATTATATTTCAATCGTCAACTAAGGATTTCATAGTCATGTTTGTTTTATCGTAAAGAGATGCGCCCGGCAGTTACTTTTGAGGATAGTCTTGACCTATTTGTGTTTGGCTATAGAACCAAAAGTTAATTTCATAGTAAACATTTCATATGCAACTAACCCAATCTGGCAAAACATAGTAATAAAATATTGGTTACTACGTTTCTTCAACAAGGTTTGTTTTGATATCAGACAACTGAGAAAAGGTCCCTGACACCATTGATTTAGGGTTTAGTGGGTTTGTTGTATTGCAGGAAAACATACCATTGAAGGCGATCATCTTGTTGGCGTATCAGAGCTTTGGGGTAGTCTATGGTGACCTTAGCACCTCACCTCTGTATGTGTACCGCAGTACATTTGCAGGCAGGCTACGGTTGCATGAAAGCGATGATGAAATATTGGGCATCCTGTCATTCATTTTCTACACGCTGACAATAATCCCTCTCATCAAGTATGTATTCATTGTGCTAAATGCAAGTGACAATGGTGAAGGTATGTAAATTCAATTTTGTTGAGGGCTTGAAAAGGCCATGTGTATATATATATATATATATATATATATGTGTGTGTGTATCGAGGAGTATTCGAACACTGTTGAATTTACTCCATTTTTTTACTATGTGTGAAAGACTTATGAATTGATCAAAAAAAGTCTAGGATACTGTACGCTTCTTGTTACTTCTTACACCACTTTTCTTTAGATTTTATTACACAAAATACTGTGGAAAATAATCGGGTTGTGTGCATGTATTTGAAGTAGTGTCTGATTGAAACAGGTGGAACGTTTGCCCTCTACTCTCTACTATGCCGCCATGGAAAACTCAGCTTATTGTCCAATCAACAAGATGATGATCAAAATTTGTCTACGTACAAGGTGGTGACTCCAAAGCAAACCCAATTAGGGCTGAGGGTGATGAATCTTTTTGAAAAGCACCCCCACCTCCGAAAAGGGCTCCTCATCGTTGTCTTGTTGGGGACTTGCATGGTCATAGCGGATGGTGTTTTTACACCTGCCATATCTGGTGTGCAACTTCTTCTCAGCTTTTTTTTCTTGGTGCTAGGTCTCTCATGCCGATGGCTCATTGTCTCTTTGGGATCTTTTTCAATCATCTTTACTTCAAACTGTGTTACAATGTGCAATTTATGTATTTATTTATTTTTATCTTATGATTTCTTTTACTAATGATTGACAGTTTTGCATTTGTTACAGTGTTGTCAGCGGTTACAGGTATTAAAGTTGCAGCACCAGACCTTCCGGAAGGTGAGTAATGTCAATACTACTGTCTCCATTTTTTCCTTGTTCGTCATATTCTTTATAAATAAATAAGTAACTAAAAATTAAAACTTAAGAGTTGCTCTTTGTTTAAAAAATCCCCCGAAGAAGTGGAACTTCTGTGCTTGAAAAGATACTGGAATGCTTTGTTCATTAAACACCCACTTGAATCCGATACCATCTAGCTCACGTTGCAATATTAAAGTACTATCAAGTCTGATCATTGAGGCACTTCTGTGTTGCTGTGATTGGTTTAATTAGACGATTAGCTTAAGGTACAACAATATGAATCATCAGTGTATTTTTGTAGATCGCTAATAGATGGGCTACGGTGACAGGTGTGGTAACGGCAGTCTCATGCGGCATTCTTTTCTGCTTATTCGTACTTCAGCATTTTGGCACACGCAGGGTTGCTTTTTTATTTGCCCCAATTGTAATTGCGTGGTTGATTTGCATCTCCATCATCGGAGTGTACAACATAGTAGTTCACAATCCAAGGGGGATTTGGTCCGCTTTGTCACCAATATATATGTACAAATTCCTAAAAATTACTGGAAAGGATGGTTGGGTATCTCTTGGTGGTGTTGTCTTGTGCATTACCGGTAGGTCTTTCCTTTTTTTCTTTTTCTTTTCTGTTGTGGATTTTCTGCTTCTTCTGTGACTTGAAAACTCAAAAATTTGCACCAACCCAAGTTTTGTGAAAGTGATTTGTTCGGTGTAAGGTCAAGGAAACAAAATAAACTTGGCTTAACAAATTATTTAATGGTTTGATCACCTAAGGTCTTATCAATTAAGCAAATGTTTTGGTTCTATATTATTTATTTATTTGTTTATTTTTACATCTTGAACGTGCTCATGAGGATTGCTGCATGTAAGATCACAATGTGTTAATAACTACTGACAAGTTCTTCCGGCTTTTGTGTGCAGGAACTGAAGCCATGTTTGCAGACTTGGGACACTTCAATCAAGTTTCTATCAAGGTATTTTATAAATCTCAAGGCTAGTGAATTTTAATCAGTTATGTAGTCAAATGACATGTAATCTATTGAAGTAGAATTACCATTCATCCAAGCTTTAAATAGTGATGAATTTGGTGATCTAGAACTTATTAACACATGAGCAAAGCCTCAACATGGATGAAGGCTACTGAACTTTCTATCTTTTGATGATGATAACTTTTATAAATAAGATTGTGAGAAGTAAAACCTTCAACTACTCAGACTTGGTAAATACTTTGCTTATGCGAGGTATGAAATTTCAAGTGAATATCAGCATTAAGTGAGTAGGGAACAGCGGTTTGAAAATATAAGCTGAGCTAGTTGTCAGTAGTTCTTGAGTTTAGTTTGGATTCAAGTGAAGACTTACCAGTGTCAAGGTGATTTGTAGATTGCCTTTACAACTGCGGTGTATCCTGCCTTATTATTGGGATACTTTGGGCAAGCTGCTTACTTATCCAAGAACCGAAACGATGTCTCAGAAAGCTTCTACAAGTCCATTCCAAGTATGCAATCTTGGTGGTTTTTTTCTTTTAAATTTATGATTTCGCTTATGCAATGCACAGTTCAGTGTATAATTGAAATACGGAAAGATGACACAAGATATGAGAAAAGTAAGCATTGGGTTAACGAACTTGCTTTGTATTGGATCTTTGCAGCACCTGTATTTTGGCCAGTATTTTTGATTGCTACATTGGCAGCTATCGTAGGGAGTCAAGCGGTTATCTCAGCAACATTTTCAATTGTGAAGCAATGTGTGTCCCTCTATTGTTTTCCAAGAGTCAAAGTAATCCATACATCTAGAGAAATCCATGGCCAGATCTACATCCCTGAAATCAATTGGATTTTATTTCTTTTGTGCTTGGCTATCACTGTTGGGTTTAGAGATACAACCACCATTGGGAATGCTTACGGTGAGTACATGACTCAAATTGCACAATACCCGCTCAAATTTAATGTTTCCGTAGCAAACATTGTTGTTGCTTAGCTGCTCAGTTGCATAAAATCAGTTGTCATTGGTTTGAATATCAATAGTTGCGTATCTTGAATAGCCCACACAATGAAATATGCATCTGGAGTTATTTTTTACTTAAAAAATAAATAAAAATAAAAAATAAAAAATAAAGAACAGCTCTGCTTCTTGAAAATTTATCCATTTGTGCTTAGAAGCAAAAAAAAAAAATGTTGATGGGTGCAGGTCTAGCAGTCATGTCAGTGATGCTCGTAACGACTTGCCTAATGGCTTTGGTGATTTTGTTGGTATGGGGACGAAGCATCTTCATAGCTCTGGGGTTCCTCATTTTCTTTGGGTCCATTGAGTTAATGTACATCTCCGCGTCCATTATGAAGGTACCTCAAGGGGGGTGGGTTCCGTTGGTGATCTCTTTTGTTTTCCTAATAATCATGTACATATGGAATTACGGGACGTCCAAAAAGTACCAATACGACTTCGAGAACAAAGTTGCCATGCACACGTTGATGAACATTGGGCAGACTATGGGGGGTGTCCGTGTCCCTGGTATTGGGCTTTACTATACAGAGCTTGTGACAGGCGTTCCGCCTATTTTAGCCCACCTATTCACAAATCTGCCGGCGTTGCATGAGTTCCTAGTGCTCGTCTCCATAAAGCATGTTCCTGTGCCTTACATTCCTTTACAAGAGCGATATCTTGTTGGACGAATTGGTTCAAAGGACCTGCGCTTGTACAGGTGATAACTTACTCTACACTCTTAGAGGTGCATAGACAACTATGGATTAACCCATCTTCTTTTAATTAAAGAAGATATGTGGATCATCTTCTTGATATTAGTGGGCCAGTGCGAGCATTGGGATTCCGTTTCATTGCCTTTTTGTGAATTTAGTGTTTATTTATTTGCTTTTTGTTTCTGTGGGCTTCTTATATGAGGCCTTATGAGTCGTTCAGCATTTTGATTCTGAACTCTTGGTGTCTTTTGATAGGTGTGTTGTTCGCTATGGATACAAAGATATCCATAAAGACGATGACGGATTCGAGGACAAACTCATCGAAAAACTGGGTGCCTTTATTGTGGCGGAGGACGACGTGGAGTCTGAAACGTGCAGCTCCGACGAAAGAGACGACGGGATGATGCAAGCGTCAGGAATGTATCGATCGTCAAGTTTGGTGCACGCCGTGGACAACGAACTTACCGTCAAGGAAAGATTCGGGAGAAAGAAACAGCCTCTCGCAAAGTCCGAGGTATATTGCCTACGCTTTTCTTTTTTTTTCTTTTTTTTGCTACCTTTCGTCATTCAGTTCTTGTATTGGTGTTTGGATCAAAGCCCTGTCCTCTGTGTCATGTATCATTATGGACAAAATTCACTCGTGTATGAAGAAAGTGAGGTTTGTCCTGCAAATTGTAGAGCTTAAGTGAGGTTCAGCTTTGATTTATTATTATTTTTATTTTTTTAAATCAAATGTTTTTGTTCGCTCTTGGTGGTCTTTGTAGCTCTCTTGCAATGAACCCACTCCCCAAGTGAATGGCAAGAAGCGGGTTCGTTTTCAAAGTCCAGATTTCAAGCAACCAGATCCAGCCATCCTGCGGGAGCTAGAACTGCTTCGAGAACATAAAGAGAGGGGTGTGGTCTACATCTTGGGCCACTCCTACGTGGAGGCAACCAACGCATCATCTATACTGAAGAAGTTTGCTATTAACGTTGTCTACACTTTCTTGAGGCGAATCTGCAGGGGACCTTCGGTTATACTCCATATACCTCAAGCATCATCCATCGAAATCGGCGTCGTCTATCGGGTGTAGATACTGAAAAATAAGGGAGCCCCGGCTGGTGATTCTAACGTTACGTTGAATGTGTTGAAGGTTTTGTTCGAGCAGATACCAGGGCATTAAGCTTCACGAATCAGAACGACTCAGCAACGGAGACCTTCGTGTAAACCCGGCTTTTGAAACTGTCCACATCAGAGTCTGGTTTAGCATATATTTGCAAGAGCAGAAAAAAGTTTTTCTTCACCTGTGTACAGTTTATATACTCAAATTGTTTGTAATTTTAACAAAGATCGTTGGTTTTTTTGTCATTTTTAATTGGCAGCCGAAACTTGTGCTTCTGTTGTCGATTTATCGAGTTTAAGTTACTTCAAATTTTGCTTCCATCGTGCTGTTTGTGTCCAAGTGGATAGCGTTTGAATGATATGGTAGCACTATATAAGAACATGAGTTTGCAGCTGTTTAGAGAGGACTTTTTTATTTGCCTAGTTTCTTATGTAGTGTTTTGAGCTGGGAGTACAATAGTTGTTGTGTAGAACCCATGTCATATATTAAGGATATTATTTGAAGATACAAAAATGACAATGTTATTGAGAAAATTGAACAAAAGTTTTATGAGTTATGCTTGTGGTTTTAAAAAATATATTTTTTTTTCGCATATTCACATGTCTTACGAATTATATTCATCTGGATATGGAAGTTTTGCACTTCCGTAATAAAAATATCTATACATTTTTTCTTCAATTTTATTTTTTTCTATAGTAAATTATATATTTATATATATATATATATATATATATATATACAAGATAGTTGTTTAAAATAAATTTAAGGTTAGGTAAGATTGTAACCAACTTTAATTTTTTTATTTTCACAAATGAATTTTTATTCAAGGGCATATTCCTTCCGAAAAAAGGTTTGTGGATATTTTTTAGAACCAATAAAAAGTCAATGCAATCTAATTATTTTTTATACTAGATTAGAAGCTTAAAAATTGGCTCTAATTGTAAAAAGTGATATTTTAGTATACATCATTTTTATCATCAAAATAGCACATTGTACTCTTCAATAATCATTAATAAATCTTTAAATTATAGAAAAAAATCAAGCTTTATTTTTTAAAATTAAATAATTTTTCATTATAATTTTTTTTTAGCTTTCCATCTAATTTTGATACTATTTTTTTGTAAGTATATTTTTAATAAACTTGTCTAATTTTTAAAAACATTCTTAAATTTTACACTAATTGAAAAGTTTTTTAGTAATATACAAAGGCTTTTGTTAACTATTGAAGATTTTTTTGTTCAAAAATATATTTGGTATATTTTTTTTAATTGCTTATATACTAAAAAAAAAATTAATAGTATTTGAGAATATTTTAGATATTTTAGCTTTTTTACTCCAAATTTTTTTAGATTTTTTTTCAATTCTATATTTGTAAAAACACCTATTTTTTCTTATTTGATGCCTAATTGTCAATTTACACCTAAAGACTTCATTTAAAAAATTTAAAAATAAATTAAAATTTATTCATGTATATTATGATTGATAATTTAAAAATAATTTAAAATTTAAATTGTAATATTTTTAAATTTATTAAAAATAATTAATAAAATTTTAGTAATTATAGATTAGAGTAAGTAATATTATTTAAATAACTATCAATTTTTATTATGTAATTTTGATCTTGATTACTAAAAAAAAAATATTATATATTATTTTTATGTATATTACTTAGCAATATATATATATATATATATATATATATATATATATATAATAATATACCAAAATTTATTTTAATTTAATATATGATCAATTATTTAATTTTAAACTTTTTTTTAATTAATTCTAATGTTTAATAAAATAAATAACTATCCACTTATTTTAGTGGATAAATCTGTTAAGTTGAATGTATTATTTGTATTCAAGTTAAACAACTTCTATACCACCAAATGTAACATATACCAGATCAAATGGATCTAGAAAAATGCACACCTGAACCACCGTTAATATTGTTTTTCTTCAAAAACATCTCTTAATTTCAAAAAAATCTCCAATAATCATTTTGGCTTTAAAGGTATTTCTTACAACTTTTAAAAACTAACATCCAAAACATTAATAAAAAAATAAATAAATACAACAAAAAAGACTTATATATATATATATATATATATATATATATATTCCTTGGATATTTCTTCATTATTCTTCTCACATGAAATCATTTGCTATAAATGGAACGACCTAGATGTACCTTCCAGGATTTCTTTAAGAAACAACTTAGAAAATTAATCCAATAGTTTGATATGAAAATCCTTAGCAAGAAGCTAGATCAAGCAGTTGGGGACAAGCTCCCAATCTGATATATTCATTTACACACACACACACATTTACATCAGATCTGGATACCAATAGGATATACATATATTTATATAACGGATCTGTCTCCCGATGAACGGCGTTAGCCATGTCGGTATAGCAAGGCAATCAGCCTCTGTCAACGTTGTGTCTCATGTGATGAACGATTGATAGATAAGACATACACACACATAGACAGACACATGTTTGTGTTTGTGTGTGTGTGTGTGTGTCTTTGAAGGGAGCTCCCAATTCCTTGACGATACCCACACACACACACACACACACACACACAAACAAACAAACAAAAAAAAAAAAAAAAAAAAAAAAAAAGGGAGAGAAAGCATCGCAGCAACACGGGATTGCATCAGACTCCCATCGAGCTCCTTTCCAGCCCCCCACCGCACCACTGCTCTGCAGCATATCCTTCATAATCATCATCGTCATCATGCTTCGTCGGCCCCCTTTCGATGCCTCTGCATCCCGAAGTTGTGACATTGCCAGCTTTCCCGAACAAATATGTTTCAGTGAGAACCCGAACGACGTGCTCTACGGTGGTTTGTTAGTACTCGTCGGATGTTCACTGCTCCAGTAGCTGCTCTCATGCAGTCTCGATCTCGTCGACTCCACCACTGAGATCCCTTCGCTGCATTACATGATTGAATGCCGGGGATATGTGCATGGGACTTTGCACGGCGATGTCCAGTTTCACCTCAGGTCTCGAAACTGGTGTGAGTCCTGATGAGGCATGAACACTTTACTGACAAGTCGCGTGTTTTTCCTCGTGGCGATGTACCACTCAACCATGACCCATCACTAGGATTATTCTGATGCTGAAATTGCAAAAATTGACTCGTTTCTTCGCGTATTTTTTGAGAGTGTTCAGTAAATACGAACCAATTGATCGTCGTAGAAGATCACACTGTTATCCCAAAGTCACATCGAACGAGTCCCGTGTGTAACTGTGCTTCACAAAACGTAGTCGTCAAGTTATGAACAGCTCTGCAATACTAGCAATGCCAACTCCAGATCCATTCATGTACTTACATAACCCAACTGCCAGATTCCCTTCACGGTCCACAACACACCGACCAGTTAAGGGGGAGTTACGAATCCATGGAAGCGAATTCATCAAAGCTGAAGACGAATCGATGCTGTTGGGCAGCGAGGGAGCTTTAATGGAGCAGCGGCTTGTGCATTTACCTCCACCATCCTTGGGGTCAACCGCGAGCTGTTCCCCCCCACAGATCTCTGAACCGGGATTCTGCAGCTCAACCGCAACACAAGCCAGCAGCAACCGACAACGGCGTCTACCAAATACCTCAGCCAGGGAATCATAATATTATTATTATTATTATTATTAATGGTATTGTTATTATTATGACTACTACTACCACTATTACTACTATTTCTACTCCTCCTGTTATCACTACACCATCACCATTTTATGGGGCTTTAGCGAAAGCTGCGTGGTGGTCACGAGTATCACTAATCAAGCCCACTGGCTGCAGAAGCTTGAATGCATGCAACAACTGAATCATACTGAATGCCTCTCCGTGAAGCCATCAACCTCGACGACAAAAAACGAAATAACGATTTCAGCAATTGGAATATCAAACAAAAAACAACTATCAAGCAGAAAACAAACAAACAAACAGGTTTTGGGTTTTATCATCAAGATAAATTGTTGCACATTCATGCTGAGCGTTGTTGTTGTTATTGTTGTTATTGTTGTTATTGTTGTTGTGGTATTTTCAAGTCGAGCACCAAACTGATCTCTTCATGACTCTCTGCAAGTTGTGATGAAACTGACACCATTTCTATTGCTCAAGCGGTGGTTTGGTGAATGGGTTGGTTTTGTTGAGACAAGTTTGAATGAAAAAGTGTTGTAACGATTGTGTATGACTCCAAACATAGGATACTAATGAAGTTAACTGAAATAAAAATAAAAGTTGTGTAAGCATGTTTTGATTTTAGACGTGATGCAAATGTTTCTAAAAAAGCTTTTCTAAAGCCTACTAATTAAATTATAAAAACAATATATAAGATATGTTATTTTAAAGATCTCATTAATATTCAATTTAGAGATATTTAATGTTATTTTTTTCTAGTCTTATTTTTAATCTTATTTTTTTATATTATATAGTATTTCTTTCACACTTCTATTCTACTTGTTTATTATTTTTGTGTCCTTAATACTTCTAACTATGGACTTGATTAATTTGAAATACATATACATATTTTCAAAAATATAATTGATGGATTTTAAAATATATTATTAAAAAAATTATTGAATTGTAATTAAATAATAAATAATGGATTTTATGGTTTTGTAATCTATGATTGATATTTTTAGATAAATATTTTTTTAAAGCCTTGGTAAGAAAATTCTAATATTTTACATATTTTAGAAATAAAATAAAAAAATATATATTATTTTAAGTTTTATGATTTATTTCTGAATATATTGAGAGAATCAATTCAAAAAAAAAAAAAAAAAAAAAAAATGAGCATAGAAATAAACACAATCAAATTCTACTTGGTTTTAGATTTTAGACTCTTATTTTTATAAAAGCCAATACAAGATTTGAGATAGTAATACAAGAAGTATGTTATCAAGAAATATTTCTGAAATATTTCTGAGAGTAATAAAAGTCTAAATCTATGAACTCCTAGTTTGAAAAAACTTTCCAAAAAGTAGATTAAATTTTTTTATAGATGAACCCCACTTATTTAATACTCTTTAACTAATATTTCTTGCTTATTTATTGATATTTGTCAGAACAATGGTTGTTCATGGGTTGTAAATTTATATTCTTAAGCTAATATTCCTTACATAATTTATAAAATATCCATTTACTTAAGTTATAAATTAAGCATATTATATTTGTATATATAATGATTAAATAAGAAAATAGAAGAATTTTAGATTAAAGAATATTTAAAAGGTAATTAAAGAAGTAGGTGTTT